ACAAGTCCAAGACACTGACACATGAGATTGCATGCATACAAACCAGAACTTGCTTGGTTTTAACTCTATCATCATGGCAGCAGGTACCCTCTGCTCCTCCCCCGCTTTCCAGCTTCTTTTTTTTGTGTGCTGGCTTCCCTCATTGGATTGAGCTCTTGCAGAATAGGAACTGTTTTTCTTTTTCTTATTTGTAGCTCCAGCTCTTAACAGAATGTGTGGCACATAGTCGGTGCTTAATGAAATATTTACTGTACTGTATTTATTGTATACTAAAGAGGAAAATGGCGTACAATACAGAATCTTGCCAAGGCTTTCTTTAATCACAAAGGAAACCAATTATATCAAAATATGATTACTAAAAAAATTATAAAACCAGGGTCATACATTAAAAACCCAGGTTCTAAACTATTAGTACTTAGACTTCAAAATTAAGAGAATTCTATTGGGCAGCTGACTACCTGTATAGCCAGTAGCAAAGGAATTCATCTTGTCTGCTCTATTTGGGGCATTATTCAGCAGGCTATGCCAAGACTAGAAAAAGACAAGAAAGAAATCTTCCTGGAAAAATCAGACAAGTCAAATAAATAATATCCTAACTATATGACTTGAGGTCTAGTTTGGCACTCTCTCTTTTCCCTTCATCAAGATCAGACAGGAACAGCATTAAATACCTCATCTCTAAATGGGCAAACCTACAGATTATTGGAAAACCTATCAAACCTAGAAATCTGAGCAGGCTGCTTCCAATAACTTGGAGAAACCCTTCAAAGTAATCAATCACGCTGGAATTCAACAGCAATTTGTCATGTAAAAGATATTTGAAACAACAGACTTTTTTTTCTTAAACAAATAGCTGTTTGGTTAACTTACAATGCCTTCAAACTTGGAATCAATCTTAGCTTTGAAAATAAACAGCTAGGCTGAAATATGATTTACAATGACTTCATTTTTAAAAATAATGTTTTATTTTCCCTCCAATTACTTGTAAAAATAATTTTTAACACTTGATTTCTTTTTTTAAGTTCTGAGGTCCAAATTTTATCCATCCCTCCCTCCCCCTCCTCCCTGAAACAGTAAGCAATCTGATAAAAGTTATATAGGTGCAATCATATAAAATATTTCTGTTATTAGTCATTTTGTGCAAGAAGACAAGGAAGAAAGGAAGGGACGGAGAAAGATAAAGAAAGAGAGAGAGAGAGAGAGAATGCTTCAGTTTGTATTCAAACATCAGTTCTTTCTCTGGAGGCAGATAGCATTTCTCATCATGAGTCCTTCGGGATTGTCTTGGATCATTGTATTGCTGAGAATAGCCCCATCATTCATAGATCTTCATCGTACAAAACTGCTGTTACTGTGTACAATGTTCTCCTGGTTCTGCTCACTTCACTTTGTATCAGTTCATGTAAGTCTTTCCAGGTTTTTCTGAAATCATCATGCTTGAAAATGATTTCATTTTAAAAAATCAAATGGTAAGCCTCTAATGGAGAGACAGGTAATTTTTACTATTATTCCTTCTAGTTATTTTATCAATCTCTATGAAAGTCAGTGTTTTGATTATTATTTTTACACTTAGTTTTTGAAGGCCATTTTCCTTGCTTGAGAAGACAGAAATAAACTAAGAGTGGGCTTATTCTGTGTTGCTACAGAGGGCATAATTAGAATCAATGAATAGATGTTATAGAAAGGAACTTTCTGGCATAGGGTAGGAATGAATTTTATAATAACCTGGACTGGTCAATCATGGAACAGGAGGCTCCATAACGTAGTAATTTGTCTATCATAGAAACATTGGGTCAGAGGCTGGAAAATCATTTGCCACTTTCCTTGTCAACTCAGGCAGCACAGTATAGTGGATATATTACAGAATTAGGGGATTTGGGTTCAAATCCTAATTCTTCCGTTATATGCCTCTGGGTTGCTTCAGGTTGCTCATCTGTAAAATAGGTTGTTGTGGAAAATATTCTTTGTAGAAGTGACGTGTAAATTTAGGTTACTGTGATAATTCTGACATGAAACCCTCATTTGAATTTGAACTAGACAATCTCTAATTTCTCTTTCATCTCTAAGATTCTTTGATACTGTAAACTTAAATTATGAGGCTATGGGGACATGTCAGTTTTGCTGTCATTATTTTCATAGGGATTTAGAAAATATCTGGAAGATATTTTAATTTTATCTCATGCCATGAAAAGACGGGATGAAAAATGACAAATTTCAAAAAAAAAAATATGAATAACGCATCTCCCCTGTGTCCAAAGCAAATGTGTTTTGCTCCAAAGAGATGTTTAGTCCATTATCTTCTTTGAGGGAAGGGTAGATAAAAGGATTTCCAGGCAGGATGAGCATTTAATGAAAGACACATATTGACTTTATGACTATAAAGCAACTGATATAATAATTCTGGATTTACACAAAAGAGGCAAAGCTTAGCATTGATGAAAAATTAAAATATTTTATGTTAAAAAAAATCAAAGTTGCTCAACCTTTATTGAAGTAAACCGATTTATTCTTTGTACTACAACATTGCTCATGTCCTTGGGATGCTAAAGACTTGGGGGGACATGGGTCTCATGCAGTTTAACTGAAGAGTTGCTCTATCTTGATGTATCCTCTAGGGGGCACCAAGTAAGCGTTCATTGAGATTACTTCAATGGACAGTTTGAACTTCTAAAGTGCCTGGAGGTTATGTGTGTCTGTACAGATTTAGCTTTCATCTGCCTTTTCAGAATATGAGCCAGGAGAGTCAACACCCATTGAAAGGCCAAAGACTACATCACAATGCAGCTACTATTGAACAAACAGACTTCATATGTGCACAGCTTGATAGTAACTAGTCTTTTCAGTCCTACCTGAAGGCATCTATACCCAGACAGTACAAAGAGTTGTATCTTTGACAATGAAAAGTCTTTCATCGACTTCTGTGACTGAAGAGAAGATGAGGTGTTTTCTGAGGCTCAGGTCCTAAACTTCTCTCTTAAACATTCAAGTCCCTTGGCTACGTTTTCATGACATTTCCAGGCCTTGTCAACACTAAGTGATTTAAAAGTTCGAGAAAAGTCTCTGTACAGAAGGATTACTCAGTCAACTCTGATAACCCCGTGCCTTTGGCATGACAGCAAAACTTGTTTTGTAAGTCTAGTTATTCCATGCCTGGAAAGAAGGGGTCAAATATGGGGCTTAACTTGAATATATCAGAAAATGACGAGGATACTAGACTGTCTCATCCCATTAGAGATGCCTTTGTCATTAATTCAAATAGCTTATCCAGAAAAATTAAAATCTGCTTAATAGATAATTAAGGAAGTCAAGGACCACAGCCTTGAGATATTTTTTCATTATTAATAAGAATTCACAGAACGTGGTGCAACAATCTATGAGAATATATTTCCTAAAAATTATGGACATGAAGAATGTGATAGTGTGATTATAGCAATCCAAAGAGAGATGGGATGATTGGCCATGGGAGATGCAGGAGAAAGGGTTTAAGTTTTAGGCAGAGGTTGAACTGGTGGTTGATATCTTAGATCCCTACTAACTTTAAAATTCTATCATCCCATGGAAACGGTGAATAACTCATTCTTATATAATAACATCGCATAATCTTTCCTATTCTTTCTGATTCTTTCAAGTAGCGCCACTGGGCCTAAAGTTGAAAATATTGTCCCAAGTCACTTACTTTTAACCTTCTAGAAAGAAAATTTTCAAACAAAAGCAATTCATATAGAAATGAATGCCTATTATGCACAAAGATTCTAAGAAACTTTAGGTAAAGCCTCAATTTCCATTTGAACTCTATCAAGGGATCCAATTCTATATGAACACCTGAATATTGAACTGTATCATCTTCCTTTCACGGAACCATGCATTTAAAAAAATTATCATGAATGAGTCCCCGTTAACGTGCAGCTAAAATTGTACTGCACCCCATACCCTGGTTGATTCAGAGCATGCAAACAATTTTGGTTGTAAATATTTAAATATCTTAATGTTCTCAGGTCTTTTGGCAAGTGCATTTATTCCCATAAGGGTATCTTTCCAAGACAGGTGTTCCAGATAGATTTGGAGTAGGTAATTCCATTAACAGCCAGCTAGGCGGCACTGGAGTCAGAGAGATTCATCTTTGTAAGTTCAAATCTGGCCTCAGACACTTAGTAGCTGTGGCACTGGGCAAATCACTTCAACTCTGTTTGCTTCAGTTTCCTCAACTATAAAAGAAGCCAGAGAAAGAAATGGCACACCATTCCAGTATCTTTGCCAAGAATACCTCAAATGGAGTCACACAGAGTTGGACATGGCTGAGATGAAAACAACAAGATTCCCCTAATATATATTTTTTATGACTATTTAGTTCTAGAATTCATGTTTTCCAGCAATTCTGAAATTCATAAGTCCTAAGTTTTGGAATATTCATGGTCATTCATTCCTCCAAAACTTTTGGATGGTAAAATATATTAAGCCTATTATGACCTAATTCATTTAGGAATCAATCAAGGAACTCCTCAACTTTAAAACAGTTGTCAAAGGAAATTATTCTAGGTCTAAAAAGAAAGTGAGAAGAAAGGATCTGCGAAAAGGTGCTTCAGGTCTTCAGACATCTTTTATTCAGCAGACATATCTTCTTCTACTCTAGTTATTTCTTGACCCCTTCTCAACCTGTCTGTTATCTATCATTGAACAAATATGTACCACTGAAAAAAGTCACCACGAAAAAAACAGAGAGGAGAAAAACTGAGAGCAAGTATCAATTCAAATAATTTGACAAGGGAAGTCCAAGCAAGATGGATTTTTGCAAGTTGTCAGATTCTTCCAAAGCCCACATTTTAAGAATGCATCGATCGGAATAAGAAGTTTTCTAAAATACATACTATGTTCAGTTGAACGAGTGACATAAATTTTTTAAAAAAATTGGAGAAAGGGGTGCCAAGTTGGAGTTTTCCAGGCTCGTGAGGCGACGAGATTTAACAAATAAAATAACTGATGATCCAGTAATCTGGTCTAACCTGGGATGCTCTGTCTCCTCACAGCCAACGCTCCATCAGGTGGCTTTGTCTGGCTGGCGGACTTAGTGTAGGGACTCTCATCTGCAAAGGTACAATGAAGGATTTGGTTAATTTCAATCCAGGTTCTGGTTCAATGACGACTTTTAATAGACTGTCATCTAATTGCCAGCTACCAAGATTCACTGGCAAATACGTGTCTACGATCCAGGAAGAGAATGGCTTATTGTGTGCAAAAAGTAATCAATTATTGTTTAAGGAACTCATTCAGAAGATCCCCGAAAGTGAAGAGGAATGTGGGGTTCCATGAAGAGAAGTCGTCCATGATCAGCAGGAGAAAGACAGAGACACAATAAAGTAGATCTGAGACCTCCAGAAAACAGAGACCACCTTAGAGATGAATCTTGGTTGTTTTAGATGACTCTCCATCTTACCGATCACGTGACCAGATACACCAAACCTGACGTGGAGAAGGGGTGTGTAGAGAAGGAGAACTTTTAGGAGTCAAGGTGAGAACAGAGAAGGAAAGATGGCTTAAAAGTGAGAGGGCTGAAAGCTCAGTTTGGTTTCCATAGTTCTATTTAAGTGGAGAATAAAGAAACTCAAGACATCAAAGAGAAGAAACAACAAAAATGATAGAAACACTTAAACAAAATATGTCTGCAAGAGATAAGGTAGAAGTTAAAGTTATAAAAATTCTAGGTGGCAAGAACAAAACCCTTAAATATCATGTTTTTTCATATATTTAAATCAATCCTTGGACAAAAGAATAACAATCGGGTCAAAACAGCAAACATGTAGGCTATCACCATATGGAAGAATTCTTCACGGGAATGGGAAAGTACATTGATTAAGGGAGACTTCTTAAAGAGAAATCTTTAAAAATTATTCAAAAACTGGATAAATAAGACATGAGCAGGAATGATGTCAAGAGAAGTCAAGCTAATTTTCTAGTGAGACTGGGTGGTTCAAATGATTGTTTCTGGCCACATTATAAGAGATTTTACAGGAAATCATTAAGAGATTAAAAAAAAACTTATTGTGCATGGAAAACTATTAAATACTACAAGGAATTAATTCAGCAACAAAGCTTTATCATCTGAAACCATTAATCCTCCCTACTAAGTGGTTCGTATTTCAAAAGTGAGACACCAAATTTTTCCCCAGGATGTTTTTATGGGTTAACTGATTCACTATTACTTCTTAAAATTAACAAGGTCTCTATAAGCAATGACAAAAAGAAAAGATTAAGACTGCTATAAACTACAATTACCTTCATAAATCTAAATCAGGCAGCTTCATATTTACATTTCATTTTTCATATGTCTTTATATTATCTCAGTTATAAAGATAAATTGCCAGCTTTTATGCATCAAACATAACCTACCCCCATCGTACCGCTCATGACATGTCACGTCTTTGAAACTGCTCCAAATCACACTCTCTACCATCATAAATAACAACACAAAACTACTGCATTAATACAACTCCATTGTCTTCAATTAGTCCCCAAACCCCGGACTAAATCTCTTACAAATTGCAGATTCACAGCGAAGCTATGGGATTTAGGCAGTTGGTTTAGGCGAGGGGGTGCAGTGGATAGAGCTCCAGCCTTGGAGTCAGGAGGACCTGAGTTCAAATCTGCCCTCAGACACTTGACACTTAACTAGCTGTGTGACCCTGGGCAAATCACTTAACCCGGATTGCCTCACCAAGAAGCACAAAAAAAAAAAAAAAAAAAAGGAAGACAGTACAACATCGGAAACTTTATAATCAATACAGAACTCTGTACCAGGAGTATAGTAAACCTGTGCCAGGTCAGAACTATAAGTACTGGGATGGCATCTTGGAACTCAAATGCTTGCTTATTTTGTCCCTGTTCTAACTTACAATGGGTGACATTTGCAGCATACCCTTAAAGGTTTGCAAAAAAGCTTTATGTGCATTTTCTCATTTGCTCTCACAATAACCCTGAGAGGTAGATCTCACACTTGTGATTATTCCCACTTTACAGATAAGGAAACTGAGGCTCAGATAAACTAAATGACTTTCCCACGATCACACAACTAGTAAATGTCACATGATAAATTAGAACCCAGGGGCAGCTAGGTGGCACAGTAGATAGAGCATTGGCCCTGGGTTCAGGAGGACCTGAGTTCAAATCTGGCCTCAGACACACAACACTTACTAGCTGTGTGACCCTGGGTAAGTCACTTAACTCCATTGCCTCACCAAAAAAAAAGAACCAAAAACAAATTAGAACCCAAATCTTACCTGACTTGACTGTAAATTTAGTATTTTTTTTCATAGTAGCACACTGCCACACTGTTAACAAACTTTTAATTAATTATGAAATTAACTGTCAATTAGCTCTTAGGCCAGAAGGTTGTGAGGTCATTCAGATCATTTACAGTTTTTCAGAAGGAATTTCTACGGGGATTACCCACTTTGCTTTAGAAGAAAGTAGTCCAGCTAATTCTTTATATGCTGTGGCATATAGTAATCAGCTGGGTAGTACAACAGGATGGAGCACTGGGCTTGGAGCTGGAAGACTGGAGTTCAAATCCTATCTCAGACACTCCCTGACTGTGTGACCCTGGACAAGTCACTTACTCCTTCACCCTCAATTTCTTTCTCTGTAAAATGAGGATAGGGTTGTTGTGAGCATCAAATGAGGGAAATTTTAAGTACTTCATAAGTTTTAAAGTACTGTAGAAATGTAAGCTATTATTCCCATTGTGTCTGAGGTAGAATTTGAACTCAGATCCCCGACACCAGAGTCAGTGCTTTCTTCTCTACCATGTCCCTTCCAGTTCCAAATCCATTAGGATCCTATGATACTGTGAATTCAGGATGGAAATGCACATATAATATACTTTCTTTTTTAATTTTTTTTTTTTATTTTTAGGCATTTGGGGTTAAGTGACTTGCCCAGGGTCACACAGCTAGTAAGTGTTAAGTGTTTGGTCTGAGGCTGGATTTGTACTCAGGTCCTCCTGACTTCAGGGCCAGTGTTCTATCCACTGCGCCACCCAGCTGCCCCAATATGCTTTCTTAAAAGTCCTAGAATGTCTTGTGTGTACGGTAAATCTCCAGATCATATGAGGACTTACTGAAATCAGCTGAGCCAAGGATAAAACAGAGAATTGTATGAAAGTGCTGTTGTCGCTGTTGAGTCATGTGCAACACTTTGTGACCCCATTCGGGGTTTTCTTGACAATGATCCTGGAGTGTTTTGCCATTTCTTTCTCCAGTCGTTTTACAGATGAGAAAACTAAGGCAAACAGGGTGAAGTGACTTGCCCAGGGTCACACAGCTAGTAAGTATCCAAGGTTGGATTTGAACTCCAGGCCTGGTGCTCCATCTACTAAGCCCCTACCTGCTTGTATATGGGAAGTAGAATTTCTTTTAATCTAAGCACCGGGGTGAAACTATTTAAATATATTCTAAAATTAGTCTGTCAAACATAAATCAGGGGGAAGCAAAACTGGGTTTTTTGTTTTTCTTTTAAATAACATTTTATTTTATTTTTTAAATTATATGTAAAGATAATTTTAACATTCGTTTTTATATACATATTCAATTTTGAGTTCCAAATTTTCTCCTTTCCTCCTCAAGATGGTAAATAATTTTATATAGGTTACATATATGCAGTCATGTAAAACATATTTCCATATTGTTATATTGCCTGTCCAACAACAACATTTCCACATTAGCCATGTTGTAAAAGAAGAAACAGAACAAAAGGGGAAAACACACACACACAAATAAAGTGAAAATAGTGTGCTTTGACCTGCATTCAGACTGCATCAGTTCTTTCTCTGGATGTGAATAGCATTTTCTATCATGAATCTTTTGGATTGTCTTGGATCATTGTACTGCTGAGAAGAGCTAATTGTACTGTCGTGTACGACGTTCTCCTGGTTCCACTCACTTCACTTTGCTTCAGTGCATATCTTACCAGGTTTTTCTGAAATCTACCTGCTCATCATTTCTTTTTTTTTTTAATTAATTAATTTTTAGTTTTCAACATTCACTTCCATAAGCTTTTGAGTTTTAAATTTTCTCCCCCTCCCTGCCTGCCTCCCTCCCCCTCCCTGCCTGCCTCCCTCCCCAAGATGGCATGCAATCTATTCTATATTCCTATTAAAAATTTTCACATTAGTCATGTTGTAAAGAAGTATTAGAACCAATAGGAGGAACCACCAGAAAGGAAACAAAACAAAACAGAAGAAAAAAATAGCAAATAGTATGCTTCTATCTGCATTCAAACTCCATAGTTCTTTCCTTGGATGTGGATAGCATTTTTCCAACATGAGACCTTTGGAAATGTCTTAGATCCTTGCATTGCTGAGAAGGGCTAAGTCTATCAACATTAGTCATCATACAACATGGCTGTTACTGTGTACAATGTTCTTCTGATTCTGCTCACTTCACTCAGCATCAGTCCATGCAAGTCTTTCCAGGTTTTTCTGAAGTCTGCTAGATCATCATTTCTTATAGCACAACAGTATTCTATTACATTCATATGCCACAACTTTTTCAGTCATTCCCCAATTGATGGGCATCCCCTCAATTTCCAATTCTTTGCCACCACAAAAAGAACTGCTATAATATTTTTCTACATGTAGATCCTTTTTTTCCTTTTTTTAATGCTCTCTTTGGGATGCAGACCTAGTAGTGATATTGCTGAATCAAAGGGTATGCACAGTTTGATTGCCCTTTGGGTATAGCTTCAAATTGCTCTCCAGAATGGTTGGATTAGTTAACAACTCCACCAACAGTGCATTAGTGTCCCAATTTTCCCACATCCTCTACAACATTCATCATTTTCCTTTTCTGTCACATTAGCCAATCTGATAGGTGTGAGGTAGTACCTCAGAGCTGTTTTAATTTGCATTTCTTTAACCAATCAGGATTTAGAACATTTTTTCATATGACTACAGACAGCTTAGATTTCTTCTCCTGAAAAGAGCCCATTCATATCCTTTGGCCATTTGTCAACCAAGGAACGGCGTGTATTCTTATAAATTTGACTCAGTTCTCTATATATTTGGGACATGAGCGATTTATCAGAGATACTT